GTTCAGCCTGGACCTCATTGCAGCCTTTCAGTACCTAAAGGGAGCCTACAAACAGAAGGGGAGTCAGCTCTTGGAAAGGGGAGATGACAGCAGGACAAGGAAATGGTTTGAAGTTGAGGGAGGGAAGATTTAGGTTGGATGTCAGGGGAAGTTGTTTGCTGTGAGAGTGGTGAGGTGCTGGAACAGCTGCCCAGAGAGGCTGTGGATGCCCCGTCCATCCCTGAGGTGTTGGAGGCCAGGTTGGATGGGGCCCTGGGCAGCCTGGGCCGGCGTTAAATGTGGAGGTTGGTGGCCCTGAATGTGGCAGGGGGGTTGTAGATTCATGATCCTTGAGGTCCCTTTCAACCCAGGCCATTCTGTGATTCTGTGGCCGGTAGTCAGGAAATGCTCCCCAGAGTTTGAATAGGACAGCTGAGGATTGAGTGTGTGATTAAAACATTGCTGCTCTGCATCAGCTGCTCCCCAGCCCTTACCTTCGATGGGCGTGCAGTGAAACGAGTGGGCTATTTTGTTCCACGCGTCTGTCACTTGTGTATTCTGGATGAAGAACACATGTAAACACATTAAGGGTTTAGAACTCAAGCCAGAAGCACGACTGTTAATTTTCACCTGGCAGTGTTTGGTGATAAAACCAAGTGGTGCTCTAACACCTCCAAAAAAAGGAGGAACGGTGGCAGGCTTCCATTTTTAATCCCCCATCAACAAAAATAATGTGGAACATGAGGTCAGCTCAGCCTCCTGCACTGCACCCGGTGCCTTTTCACACGTCACTCCTTTAGGAGATAACACGGGGAGCCGAGAGCAGTGCTGGAAGTTACTGGAATAGTAACACGGAGCTGAAGAATGCCTACGGCTGCTGAGGTGTCTGAGCAGCGGGCGAGGGAGAGCTGTGAGTGGGAGATGGCAGTGAGCGTGGCACAGAGGGTCAGCTGTGTGCACAGCTGCCCCCAGAGAGGATGGGAAAAGCAGCACTGCTCCTCTGTGGGTCCTGCAGGGATCCGGAGCTGCTGCCTGCAGAGCTGCTGCCACCCAACCCAGGGCTCGGTGCTCCCACGAACGCTCAGCTGTCTGCAGACAGCTGCCTTTAGATTCCCCACATAGATGGGCCATTCTTCCCAGGCGATGTCACAGGCCTTTATTTTTATACAGCCCATCTCTGCAGAGCTCTCCCCGCACCGGGGCACACTCACACACACCATTCCCTCACCTGGTTTCCAGGCTTTACCAAACGCAGCGCGGCCTCAGCACAGAGATGAGCTGCCTTGATGACATCAGCTTTACGGCCTGACACGGGGTTTTCCTGAAAGAACAGAAAAATAAAGGCTTGTAGGGAGCAAGTCTTTCTCCCTCTTATCAGCAAGACTGCCATTCTGACTGCCTAGAGACAGAGACGCAGATCCAGAGTGGGGGATCTAGACGAGAGTAGGAGCACTCCCATCTTCACAGCTCCACCATTAGTCCCTCCCTTGTTAAAAAAGTGCTGCCCTGTGGAAAACCTACCTTTGAGGCATTTATGACAAAACTGTGTGCTACATTCGCTATGAAGCCATCGACGTGGACTCCCAAGTCACTGCAACACAAAGAGAGTTAATTACAGGTGGGGCCTAATGGCTCGGGAAACTGGTGTGACTTCTCAAAGCATTCGAAGATGCAGGCATATTTAATAAAGCTTGACTAGATTAGTTGTTACATTCTGTAATTAGCCACATCGAGGAAGTACTTAACACAGCAAACAGGACTAGAATGCAAAGCCCAGATGCCAAGAGCAAGCTCATGAGAAACATAACCAAGACGCTTACATTTTGACCAAGTCTCCATCTTTGAGGATGTAGTCTTGGTCACTCTTCAAGGGGGAGAAGTGACAGACACAGTTATTTACTGATATACTCGTTGGGAAGGCAATACCTGTAAAGGAGAAAGAGAAACAGCCCATGAAGTCTGACAGCCTCACACAGAGCTCAGCAGTGTGGACTATCACTGAGTTTGATCTTTTTCGAGCAGGGTAAGGTGCCTCATTGAATAATCCCCTGGTGAAGGAGCACGAGGAGCACAGCACATGGTGCTCTCCTGCCCCAGCAGCCATCAAAGAAGTTGATCCTTGGCACTAAGACGCGTGCAAAAGGGACCACAAGCGTGCAGAACACAAATCAGTGACACAACTCAAGTGTCACACAATTTCCACAGCTACTACAGGCTGACTGCTGAGCACAGGGCTGGCCTGCCCAAAGGGAGGACATTGTTGTCCAAAGTAACTCTTATTTCAGGGAGTGGAGCACTGAACTGGGAAGCACCAGCTCAGCAGCGATGCTTACAAGCAGGAGAAACGGGATGAGTTGGGTTTCTGCACTGCTGCCCAGCAGGACAAGCCTGGTGACCCAAGCAAAGGCCTCACCTTTTTTCATTTCTTTTTCCTTCTTGAAAATCTTGCCGGTCTCCTCCATGATCATGGCATCTCCCTTCTCACACAAGCAAAGAACCGATGCTCCCGAGTTCGCCTCTTCGACCACAGCACGCAGGACCCCTACAGAGCAGCACAGACACGGGGCAGGTTAACCAAACATCACACAGCACCACGAGTCTGCTTTGTTTCTGACAGAGGGGAACATTCTGGACTCAGCTTTGCACCTACAGAGCTGCAGATACGCAGAGAACCCACTTGAATTCGTATTGCTTTTTGAGAACCAAAGCAGGAGCAAAGCAATGTATGCTGGGATGTGCACAGGTGAAGCACTGCAGCCTCACACGGAGGGTTGGCACACAGAAACACTGCTCTCCCACATTCCTTCCAGAGCACTCAGAGCTACAGGAACAGGTTTGAAAACTGCTTGGGAGACGCACAGCACATCAAAGAGCAGAGGGGCAGCGCCGCGGGCTGCGTGGGACCAGGAGGAAACCGCCCTTACTCTGCAGAACTGCGTCTGTGTGGCAGCACTGCACCCACACTGGGGCATATCCTGGTGCATACAATTACCAGCTGGGCTCCAGGATGGGTGTCAGCATGCCTCGTGCTCTACAGAATGGGGGGAAGGACTGCGAGCCCACGGCTGTCCCAGCACTGCAGTTACATTTTGCATCTTTTCTGTAATCTTTTCATGGGTCCCAAACGTTGGTGAGGGATATAGATAAGAGGGAATGCTCTTATAAAGACCACCTTTAGTAGATGGCAGGGGACAAAAAGGTGAGAACAGGAAGCATTGAAGTGCTGTGGAAGGGCAGATGGAGAGCTGGTGTTTGTCAGAGCAGCAGCGCTGAGCAGGGAACCCTCTGAGCTGCTCCGTGTCCCAGAGGCACAGCTCTGCCGAGCCGGGAAACCCCTGCTGCTCCTCCGGGTTCGTTCAGGGCAGCAGCAACAGCGCAGCGACCCCGTCCCACCCCGGGGCTGTGCTCTAAGCGGGGCCACGCCGCCGTCCCCCACGGGCCGAGAGCCCCCGGCCCCTCCTGAGAGGATCCCGCGGGTCGGGGAGCACCGGGAGGCCCGGGGTCGTGCAGAGCCCGCGGGAGCGGCTGTCAGCTCCGCCGGGACAGCGAAGAGGCGGCGGAAAGAAACGACGAAACAGCAGCGGGGGCGGGGGGGCACGGCGGAGTTCCCGGCACTGCCCGGCCCCGGGAGCGCGCCTCGGCCCGGCGGGGGGGGGCGGGAACAAAAGAGCGGAACGTTCAGCGCGGGGGGCGGGGGGGCTGCGGGGCCGCGTGGCCGAGCCTTGCACTCGTTCCTACCGGGAGGAACCGGAGAGATCCGGGCGGGACGGGGGGCAGCGCGTGGAGCGCGGCCGGGCCCTGCCCCCCCTCTCCTCCTCCCGCCCGGTGCACGTGGGGCGCGGAGGCCACGTGCGGGCAGCGCCCGCCGCGCGGAGCCGGGCCGGGGGAACCGGAGGGGCACCGCGGGGTGGGGGGGGCGGCACCGGGGATCCCCACCCCCCACCCGGGGATCCGCGCGGCCGCCCCCGGCCCTTCAGAGGCCGCCATCGCCGGGTGCCCGGCTCTCCCCCCTTCCCC